ACAACAATGAAATTAAAGATTAGCTGAGTTTCAGTCAACTTTGTTTTTCCCAGAAAAGTTTCTTTTTAAGATTTGGTATCTTCTAACTTAGAATGAAAATGTGTATTAAATGCCATGATGTTCATAAGCATAGTAACTTCCAGGCAGTATACCACCAAAAGTGATACACTGAATCTTCAACAGCCATAAAAGGGTATAAAACTCACTTGAGTATCTGTCATACTTTGAGAATAATAATTCAGTACATATTTGCACCAGGCTTAAAGTTTGCTGTTTACTGTTGAAGATTCAGTGTATCACTTTTGGTGGTATACTACCTGGAAGTTACTCTGCTTATGAACATCATGGCATTTAATACACATTTTCATTCTAAGTTAGAAGATACCAAATCTTAAAAAGAAACTTTTCTGGGAAAAACAAAGTTGACTGAAATCCTATCTTCTTGATCCCCTTTTTTCAGCCCATCTAGAACTGAGAGTAATAAAAACAACAAACCAGAATCACATCTTTTTGGTTTTTCCATAGAACAGACCACGATGACTACACCTGAGAGGACAGTGGAAGAGATAGTAAGACTTTGGGGGCAGCATCGAAAGTGCACAGGACTCTTGACACAGACCACATCAGATGGAATGCTGAGACAGCCACTAACAGGCTGTGTGACCTAGGAAAGTTACTTCAATCACTCTTTGTCTTATTTCCCTCATCTGAAAAAGGAGAAATAATAATGTATAGTAGTAACTCCTTACACAAGGTTTCACTTTCTATGGCTTTAGTTACCCATAGTCAAGTACAGTCCTAAAAGAAGAAAGGTGGTATGGTACAGTAAGATATTTTGAGAGAAAAGAGAAACACAGAATATAGTCACATAAATTTTACTACAGTATAGTTATAATTGTTTTATTGTTGTTATTGTTAATCTCTTTATTGTACCTAATTTAGAAATCAAACTTTATCTCTATAGGAAAAAACATAGTATATTCATGGCTTCTGAATCCATTGTGGACCTCCGAATATATACTCTAAGGATAAGGGGAACCTACTACAATGATATCTACTAATAGGGTTTGTTGTGAAGACTATGTGAGTTAATATATGTAAATTTAAGCACTTCTGAATAATATTAGCACATAGAAAATGACATATGGGTTAGTTTTTTAGCCACTATAGTATAGCTTTAGTACAAAACAATTATAGTCTGCTTTTTTTTTTAATAGAATTCCCCTTCCTAAAACTACGATTAATACATGGAAAGTACACAATAAATATTTGTTGAATGAATAAGAAACCTTTTGTTGGTGATTACTTGCTTCAGTCCTGGAATTCAATACCAGCCTAGACAACACAATGAAACTCCATCTCAAAACAAACGTGTTTTTTTTAATAGAAATATTTTGTAGTTTACACCTTTAATCCTATCTATCTAGGAGGCTAAGAAAGGAGGATCACAGTTTGAAGCCAGCCTGGGCAAATAGTATGTGTGATTGTCTCTAAAATAACCAGAGCAAAAGAGATTAGAATGTGTGGCTCAAGCAGTAGAGCACCTGCTTTGCAAGCACAAATCCCTGAGTTCAAACCCCAGTCCTGCCACAAAAAAAAGAAAGAAATATTTTGTTGTTAGAGTAAGAGAAGCACAAAAGCACTATTTATTTTCTGCAGTGGTTGGATTGAACCCAGAGCCTCCCATTTCACGCTTCCTGCTGTAGTGCACCACCACTTCCAGCTTTTTTTATTTCCCTCTGTTTTGATGGGGTCTCACAAACTTTTCTGCCCAGGCTGGCCTAAAGCCACAATTTTCCCCATTTCAGATTCCTGTGTAGACAGGATGACAGACATGCACCACCATACCCAGAAACTGGTTGAGATGGGTTCTTGTGGATTTTTTTTCCTGGGCTGGCATTGAACCATGATCCTCTGCATCTTAGCCCACCAGGTAGCTAATATAGGCATGAACCATGGGCACTAGGTTCTAGTTTTGATTTTAATTGTGTAAGGAAATAGGAAAGTGCATGAATAAATGAACAAACTGAATAACTAAATGAATAAAAATTAAGTTCAAATCAAGAATTAGTCCTTAGTAAAGTCTAGAAATTCAATAGAATGTTAAGACAACTTTAAAATTACTACACTTTACTAAAGCAGTCTAAGAATTTAATTTTAATATATCAAATTTTCAAATCAGAAAGATGGATTAAAAATAAACCACTACTGTTATCTGAGATCATGTAAACAATTGTGAAAGGAGGGCAGAAGGAAGAATTTGGGCTAACAGTAATGCCTAACACATAGGAACATTGTTTCAAGGGAAAGGTTTCATTGTTTGTTTTCAAGCAATGCTTCCTGCATATATGGATTCTTTATGAATTGTTCCTTCAAAACATCGAATAAAGAAAGAACACAAGTAGGTGCTGGTGCCTCACACCTGTAATTCTAGCTACTCAGGAGGCAGAGATCGGGTAGATCATGGTTCAAAGACAGCCCTGGAAATAGTTGGCGAGACCCTATCTTGAAAGTGCTCAGCACAAAAAAAAGGGCTAGGTGAGTTGCTCAAGTGGTAGAGCCCCTGCCTAACAAGCATGTGGTCCTGAGTTCAAACTCCAGTACCACCAAAAAAAGAACACAACGTTTTTAGGTTTGAATCAACACAGTAGAGGCAAATTAAAAACCTCTAGTGGAACAATACACAATAGGAAAACAAATTCCTTCCCCTGTCATTAAAAGATTTGTTATTAACGACAATTATTAATTAAAAGGTATCAACAAAAATTTCAGTTGGTTTCTCTCCTGGAGAGAACACTTGGTCTGTCTTTCCAGAAAGATAGGGATTTTATCTGCCTAATTAAGCAAATTAGAAAATTCAATCAGGACTGGAAGTGTGTCTCAATGGACAAAGTGATTGCCTACCAAGTGCAAGACCCTGAGTTCAAACCCCAGTATCACCAAAACAAACAAAAATATTCAATCCCAAATCAGGTCTAATAATAATTATCATGGACTTAAGAGTTTGCAAAAAAAAAAAAAAAACCACAAAAAAACCCCCCAAAAAAAACTACCAGCAACAGTAATACTCCAATCAAAAATGGACAGGCTACACACACAGCTACTTGGGAGGCTGAAGCAGTAACACAGGGAGTGTCTCTCTCTCTCTCTTTCTCTCTCTCTCTCTCTCTCTCTCTCTCTCTCTCACACACACACACACACACACACACACACACACACACACACAGGACTTGAATACACATTTTCCAAGGAAGATATATGAACGGCCAATAAGCACTTGAAAAGATGTTCAACACCCTTAGTCATTCGGAACTAATGACTCTAATGAGATACCACTTCACACCCAGTAGGAGGGCTGTGATCAAAAACCCAGAAAATAACAAGTGCTGGCAAGAATGTGAAGAAACTGGAGTTCTTGTGTATGTTCAAAAAAATCAAACATAGTTATTTATTACCATATGATCCAGCAATTCAACTCTGGGTATGTACCTAATAGGGAAAGCAGGGATTCAAAGATATTTGTACACCCATAACCACAGCAGGATTATTCACAATAGACAAAAGGCAGAAGCACTCAAATGTCCACTGATGGATGAACTCAAGAACAAAATGTGGTTTACACATATAATGAATATTGTTCATTCTTAAAAACAAAGGAAATTCTGACACATGCAACAATGTGAATGAATGTGATGTGAAATAAGCCAGTCAGGGAAGGACTTGGTACCTGTGAAGTACGGTTCCTAGTGGTCAAATTCTCAGACAGACAGTAGATGCCAGAAGTTGAAAGGAGGAGAAAATGGGGTGGCAGTAACACATTTGAAGTTTCAGTTAGAGAAGAAGAAAAAAAAGTTCTGGAGATAGATGGCAGTGGTTGAAACATAGTATGAGTATTTTAACGTGCCATAGAACCATACACTTCAAAATGCTAAAAATGGCCGGGGATGATGGCTCACATCTGTAATTCCAGCTACTCAAGAGATGGAGAAGGGGAGGTTCACAGTTTGAGGCCAGCCCAGGAAAATAAAGTTATCAAGCCCTATCTAAACCAATTGATTGGTGAGTGCCTGCCATCCTAGCAACATAGAAAATGTGATTAGGAGGATCACGGTCCAGTCAGGCCTGGGTGCAAATGTTTAAATGGCATCCCCAAAACAGCTAAAGCACAAAGGGCTAAGTGTGTCTCAAGTGGTAGAGAACTTGCCTAGCAAATATGTGGCTCTAACTTCCACTAATACCACCAAAAAAAGCTTCAACTGGGCAATTCTATGTATGTATATTTTTCCACAAAAACTTCCCTAAATGTCTTAACATTCTTTGTGTGTGCATGTGTGTGTAGTACTAGGGTTTGAATTCAGGGATCTAACACTGAGCCACAATGCCCACCCTTTTTGCTTTAGCTATTTTTTTTTTTTTTAAAGGATCTCACTTTTATGCAGGGCTGGCTTGGAAAACAATCCTCCTATTAATGCTTCCCACCCAGCAGGGATGACACGTATACATCACCACACTGGTTGAGATGGGATCTTGCAAACTTTTTGCAGTCTGGCCTTGAACATGATCTTCCTTATCTCCATCTTCTGAGTTAGGTAGGATTATAGGTTTGAGCCATCAAATCTGGCTATATATGTCTTAGCTTTCTTAAATTAGAAAAAGATAATGATTTATATTAGATTTATATTTTTAATGTGTTAAAAAGAATAAATATAATTTTTTGCCTATGTTCTTCTTCAAATAAAAAGCCCTTTTTAGGAAGGTTTTCAATTTTTCAAATTGAGATGAAAATGCATGATTATATAGTTAGGTATAAGAGTAGAAGAAGATAGAAGAGATACAAAAGAAAACACACAAAAAAACCTTGTTTAGGTGTTTCTTCCTCTTTTTTAGTCTCCTCATCCTCTAAGGTGGGACTTTCCCGGGAAGAGTTGTCTTGTTGGCTAGAGTTTTTCAATAGTACAGGATCAATTTGTGCTTTCAGGAGTGCAAGAGTCTCAGCCAACTCGTTTCGATTTCTAAACAAGGGAAAAAACAAGACAGCATAAAAATTTTTCTTCTACTCTAAAGAGCTTTCTGAGTAATACCTATTGGAGATTAAAATGATAAAAAGAAAAATACATTAAGAGAATCCAAAATACTGGTACGGCTAGTCCTAATTGACCCAAAATTCTGAAAATAAGTATTAAGAAAGAGTACATATTAAAACATACTATCAGCACAGGGAAATCTTAGATTATTCTCCTTAATGATTGTCACAGGAATGCAGCTCTCCAGTTGAAAACAAAAACTACGAATAACACTAAACAAAATCAAAGTCTGATCACTTTGAAAAGTACTATGTCATCCCTAAGGAGATAAAAATCAATGTAAAATGAAGTTTTTTTAACAAAATAATTCAAGTTCTTGATTCATTTGGAAGTAACTCTTCTGTCTTAAATAGATAATTTGATATTATTATAAAATTATTATCTATAACTGAATAATGATGGCAAAAAGTCTGCTCTAATAACACAATTGAAAATTTAGTTACTGATTTTCTTTTGCCAGTTATAACTTCTAACTACAACATGGGAATTCAGTTTGATTCAACAACACCAGAAAATTCCCAATAAATAAGATTCTAATCTATAAATCCTTTAAAAAATTTATTAGCATGTACTAATTGTACACAAAGGTTTCATTGTGCTATTTCTATACATGCAGATAACGTACTTTAATCAAATTTACCCTGTTACTCTTTCTGTTTGCCCTTCTTCCCATTTTAAATAATTTTTAATGGCTATTATTATTCTATTTTTATATCTGCATATCTAATCTATAAATTCTTTATGTTTATTCACAAAACTGGCAGTGAAGTATGATTAATTTATATTCTATTTACAAGTAAGGAAAGTCCCTTGGGTATTTTTCCTGCTTAGACAAGGGGTATGAAATGAATATTAAAAGCTGACCCTGTTCGTTCCCTAGCATCTCCACCAAAAAATAAAAAAATAAAAAATAAATAAAAGCTAACCTTGCACCAAGAGGTATGAAACTTGATTCTGGATCTACAACTAAGCTGCTTGACAAGATGACTTCCTCCCTGTTCCCATAGAACTGTGTATACAACTCTAATTCAATGTTTTCCTTCTATCATCACAATATGTTCACTATCCTATCCCTTAACAGTTCCATGCTAGCTACACTATATTGCTTGAGCATGCTCTGTGTGACTAAGCTCTTTAAAAATACTTAGCAAATCAATGAAATCATTGCTCCCATCTAGATGGCTATATGCCCCTAGACAAATCACACACACGTTCAATACCCATTGCAATGCCTGGGACCAGAAGTGTCCAAAACTTCAAATTTTTTCAAATTTTGGAATATTTGCATATTCATAATGATATGTCTTAGGGAAGTAAACACAAAATTCATTTGTATATCTTACATACCTTATATATACAACCTAAAGGTAACTTTATATAGTATTTTGTTGTGCTTTTAATTTTTTGAGACAGGGTCTCAGTATATAGCCAAAGCTGGCTTTAAACTTGCAATCTTCCTACTTCATTCCTTTGTTCCTCCTGAGTGTCAGGCTTACACATTATTTTTTAAATAATTTTCCCCATAAAATAAACTTTGCGTACAATAAACCATCAGAAAACAAAGGTGTCATTATCTTAGCTACCCATGTGGACAATCTGTGGTTGCTTGGCATCAACATCATTCTTGTCTCTGAGTTTACATGCTACAAATCAGCAATCATTTACATGTATGTAGAGTAAAATATAAGGCGTATCAATACAGCGATAAAACAACGTGCTCAGGGAAACTAAAGTATCACCAGAATGTCTGTGTTATCAGTTAAACAGCAACAAGTAACAGCGGATTTTCAATTTCGACTTGTGCTTTAATTAAAGGGTTATGACTAGGGTTTGAACTCAAGGCCTTGGAATTGATAGGCCAGTGCTTAACTACTTGAGCCATGCCAGTCCTTCTTGCTTTAGTTGGTTTTCAAACAGAATCTCACATGTTTACCCAGGCAAGGCTAGATTACAATCCTGTTTGTCTCTGCCTAGGTGGAATCAAATAAGCATGCCACCGTGTCCAGCTTTTTACTGGCTAAGATGGCGTCTTACCGACTTTTTGCCCAGGCTGACCTTAAACCATGATCCTCCAGATTTCTACCTCCCAAGTAGTCTCTCTCTCTCTCTCTCTCTGGTGAGAAGCAAAACCTGAAGCAAGGGTTGAGGAGGTATTCTGTTGAATGGCTTTTGTTATACTAAGTGTCCCCCATGACAGCATTATTGGGAAGTGATAAAATGTAGGCAGTAGAACTTGGTTGGAGGTAGTGAGTCACTGGGACCAAATGACCCACTACCAACTCTTGAGAGTTATATTTTGCCTTGGCTACTTCCTGTATCCTCTTTCTCTGCTTCCTACCTGCCATCAGGTGAATACCCTCTACTATAACCTCTCATGGCCTTGATGCTCTGCCTCACCATAGGCCCATAAACACTAGAGTGAGCCACAGAGGAATGTAACCTCTGAAACAATTGAGTTAAAATAAATAATCTCTCCCTTTAAGTTATTTATCTCAGGTATTCTGTCACAGCAATAAAAGTCTAACACACAGCTTTATAAAATGTTTCTTCCAGAGTCATCTATTTCACGTATATGTACTTCACATACAACAGTTTTTTGTCTTAGAAGTCACTCTTCGCTTTTATAAACTGACATGATTTCTTGCTTCATTACAAATGCACACTACTCTAGTTCTTCACTGTCATCTATAAGAACTTTTCTGCAGTGTTAAAAACATCACGCCATCCTGACTATTGTCAGACCCAGCTTCATTAAGAACGATTTTAGCTATTTCACTATTGGTCAATGAGTGAATAACGAATGTCACTGATTTTTGAAACTTTCATAGCCATTTCTTCCAGCTTACTCTGTAACTCTGAAAGCAATTTTTTGCATACATAGGAAGGTAAGAAATCTTTCTTTTCTCACTTGACATGCAGAATCCATCAAAGTCACCACTTTGTTCATCAATATTGCTGAATATAGCTGAAAGACAAAGGTTGTACCAGATAGGTCCAACTGTCTTTGTCTCTGTATTCCAAATCTTGGCAACAGCATCTAATGCATTGGTCATAGTAAACCACTTTTGAAAACAGCCCCCCCACACGCTTCTGTTTATTGCTGCTATAGCATGCTGTTGATGAAAATGGTTGTTTATTCTTCATTGACATGTTATCTTTGTTGTCTGGCTGAATTAATAGAGTCACATTAATTAACTAGAGGAAAAGACAACAGTGATTTTGAGGAGGATTTCACCTGGAAGATGAGCAGAAGAGTTACCGAAGAATAACAATATCTTGCAGTCATCATCCAGTTCAGGTTCCCCAGTGAGCATGAGCTGCTAATGAAAAAAATGCTTGTGAAACCAATCAGAAAAGCTGCCCCAGGTGATCTATGCTTTTTTTGTCAGTATAATATGGACTAGTAAGAAATCCACTCATTTTAAACAGCAAGGACACAAAGTTTTGACTATGATAATGGGTTTACACTTCTGTATGCCTGCTATATTTGTACATCCCAGCACAGTTATTCTGCCCTTGGTCTCCTTGACTCCTATAAGATCTATCTCACCAGCTATAGTCAGTCTTTCTGGGGCAACAATGCCAAAATAGTGATATTTCATCAACAGTACAGACTTGTCCTGGTGTCAGATTTTCATCACAATGACCTTGGTAAGCTCATCAATGAATTGCTCTGCTGCTTCACGATCCACAGATGGTTTAGCATCACAAAAACTTTAAAAATTTAATGCAATGTCATTCCTTAAATTTCTGTAATAAGCCTATTAAACAATTAGTTTCCTTCAATTTTCAGTTCATCAGGATAGATCTTTGCTTCTTTCATAATCAGCATACCATAAGTGGCACATGTTCACAGTAACTGATGGATTCATTCTTTTAACATATAGTCAAGATCTTCATTTTTAGCTTTATAAAGTGTTTTCCTTCCCTTTCACTTTCTTTCCTTCCTTGGCAGTACTCATATTTGAATTCAGGGCTTTTTACTTGCTAGGCAGGTGCTCTACCACTTGAGCCAGGCCTCCAGCCCTTTTTACTCTGGTTATTTTATAGGTAAGAGTTAGCTGTTTGCTAGGGCCAACCTTGACCATGATCCTCCTATTTTATGTGTCCTGTCATAGCTGGGATGACAGGCATGCACTCCCGTGCGCAGCTTTGTTCCTTTGAGATGGAATTTTTTTTTTGGTCTGGGATGGCCTAGAACAGTGATCCTCCTGGTGTCAGTCTCCCCCATAACATATGATGATAGGCACATGCCACTTCACTCAGGTATTGATTGAGATGGGGTCTCATGACTATCAACCCAGGTTGGCCTTGAACCTTGATCTTTCTGATCTCAACCTCTCAGGCTTACAGGCATGAGCCACTACACCTAGTTTCTATTTTTCATTAACTTATGTTCATCACTTTCTGTGTAAAACAATGACACTAAATCCTTCTGTTTCTCTGGTCATATATGGTGCTCATTCCAATACCACACTCTTTGGTAAGATGTTTCACTCTTACACCACTGTCCAGTTTGGTCAACAGCTTGAACTTCTGTGCTATAGTCAAACAGAAAAGCTTCTTCTTTTTCATATCATTGTTACCCAATGCTTTTAACAATATCTCTAAACCATTGAGCATAAAAATGCAAAAATAAAACAGAACAAAAACCAGTGAATAACGCATATAGGCCCTGGGCACATGGGGCATTATGGGTAGCGGTCATAGGCTTGCATACATGTCATTTTTTACTCTTTGTGGACATCCCTGTGTGTGTGTGTGTGTGTGTGTGTAAATACGGATATGAGGGAAAGAGGGCTTCCAGCTAAAGGGGGGCTATAAGGATCTTTTTTTCCCTTGAGGATGCTGAATAAACTATTACATTGTATGACTGTTTTATCTCCAACTCATCACACAAGGTCAGGTGTAGAAGTTTCCATTTGTGG